GGGGGGGGGGGGGGGGGGAAATGGGGAGAGGCGGATAAAAGGGTACAAACTTTCAGTTATAAGATGAACAGGTCTGAGAAAGACAAATATCATATGATATCATTTATATGTGGAATCTAAAAAAACTGGTACAAATGAACTTATTTACAAAACTGAAACAGAATCACAGATGTAAGAAACAAACATGATTACCAAGGGGGAAGGGGGGAGGGATAAATTGGGAGATTGGGATTGACATATACACACTACTATATATAAAACAGATAACTAATAAGGACTTACTGTATAGCACAGGGAACCCTACTCAATACTCTGAAACGGCCTATATGGGAAAAGAATCTGAAAAGAGTGGATGTATGTGTATGTACAAGTGATTCACTTTGCTGTACTGCAGAAACTAACACAACATTGTAAATCAACTATAATTTTGTTGTTGTTGTTGTTGTTGTTTTTGGTACGCGGGCCTCTCACAGTTGTGGCCTCTCCCGTTGCGGAGCACGGGCTCCAGACACGCAGGCTCGGCGGCCATGGCTCACGGGCCCAGCCGCTCCGCGGCATATGGGATCTTTTCACACCGGGGCACGAACCCGCGTCCCCTGCATCGGCAGGCGGACTCTCAACCACTGCGCCACCAGGGAAGCCCAATCAACTATAATTTAAAATTTTTTTTTCAAAAGATGAAGGGGGTACTTCCGCGGTAGTACAGTGGATAAGACTCCATGTTCCCAATGTAGGAGGCCTGGGTCTGATCCCTGGTCAGGGAACTAAATCCCACATGCATGCCTCAACTAAGATTTCGCATGCTACAACTAAGGAGCCCGCCTGCTGCAACTAAGACCCAGGGCAACCAAATAAATAAATTTAAAAACAAAAAATGATGAAGGGACTGGTCCAGTGGGTAAGACTCCACGCTCCCAAGGCAGGGGGCCTGGGTTTGATCCCTGATCGGGGAACTAGATCCCGCGTGCATGCCATGACGAAGATCCCGCGTGCTGCAACTAAGACCCAGCGTAGCCTAAATAAATAAATAAATAAAAATCTTTTTTAAAAAACAGAAAATAAATAAAATGAAGTGAAAAGATGAATAGGTCCGAGGATCTATGTATAACATAGTGACTATAATGGGTAATACTGCACCGTGTAATTGAAATTTGCAATTTCAACAGAGTAACAGGAGAATTCGTGTTCTCACCAAAAAAAAATAAATAAATAAATATGTGAGGTGAGAGGTGACGGATGTGTTAATTAGCTCTGCTGTGGGAATCCTTTCACAGTGTATATACATGTATATCAAATCATCACGTTGCACACCTTAAATATATTA